CCACTATTTTTGCTACTGAGTTTTCTTCAGAAGTGGAATGATACAAGTTATTGAAATGCATTTTTTTCTTTCAGATCTGCACTTCCTGCTGTGAAGGAAATATCTGCAACTTACCATTACCAAGAAATGCAACTGATGCAGTATTTGCAACAACATCCCCTATAAACCAGACAAAAAGACTTTCACAACACATATCACTAATAACTTCATGTCTCTTATTGGTATTTACTTCATAGCAATATTACAAGGTGCTGTTTTTATGGTCAGAAAAGGTAAACCAGCACTTGCATATTTTTTGAATCTTATCTTAATATATGTTTTAAATTCCAGTATTTCAAGGACATTCCCAAAATTTAATTTCTCCCTGAATGTTTCTTGTCTTACAGTCAGTGCAGAGTCTAATGTACCTGATGTATAAATGCAACTGAAGGAGGGAAAAAACCTGGTTGTTTTAACTTTAATATTCTGAGTATAAATACATTTTAAAGCTAGTGGTCTGTAGCATACATCAGTGCATAGAATATTCTTAAAATATCGGTGTCTTCTCTCCATGAAGTAGTTATATTTAAAAAAATACTGCATAGCTACAAGATTCTATCAGCATTTGTTTTGAGGGTTTTTTTGAAGCTGGCATAAGAGAAAGCATTGTTGACAGTTTTTACATTATAACTTGGAAACAGATTACTACTAAATTAAGGGCTAATCCAGCAATGTCCTAGCATTCCAAATTCCTGCTGACTTCAGTGAGAATTATTTGACAATGACTACCACAGTACTGCATTTTAAATTGAATACATATATAATCAAACAACACTTTATTTTATATATATATATATTTTTTTCCCATCTATCAAAGTGTGTAAAGGGCAGTAATGCTATTGTTTGAGTAAGCAAAAGACAACATTTTGAGAAACACACACATAACCTATTATACTCTGTCATTTCTCTTAACACCCTCCTCCCAACATATGGTGTAAAAAGACTACAAGCCGTGGCTATATTTTTGGTACCCAGTGCTTATTTTAGCTGTAAATCATTTACATGGTATTTATTTTTGTATGGTATGATTGCAACCTAAAGTATTGTAAAAAAAATCCATTCTTAAGACCAATATATCCTGATAGGTTAGTTGTTTTAAGAGTGGGTAAACTTGTAATATATTCGCTATGATAAATTATCTATAATATTTTGAACCAGTGTTGAAAACGATGAACTTGTTTTCCAAGGTCAGTGGGAAATTAAAGTGGCCATTGCTGGTTTATCTTAACACTAAATAAAAATATGGTGGAACTTTGTGCATTGCACATCTAGATAATCACACATTTAAGTGATTTTATGGACTAGTTTTGGTTAGCAGCAATTGACCAGTAACTTGCACTTCATCAAGTTACAATACAGCTTTATGCCATAAACTTTCTGTGAATTATATCATAAAAGGAAGGGAAGATTGCTGGAATCTGAGAAAATGCCTTATAAAGGGCTCATAACATTTTACAAACAAGCATTAATCCAGTAGAGTTCCTTTCAGATATATATGTAATAGCTTAAAACCACAAATCTCAGTATGTGATAATGGGCATGTCTACACAAGCATTAGTATGCTACTGTTACTACGCATTAAGTTTAGTCCCTGTAATAACAGGTAGTAACTCAATGTGCAGTAACTGGCCCTACTGGGCCGTAGTGCTGACATATCATCTTTTAGTGACACTAATGCACAGCAGACTAATTTTACTGAGCATTAGCATGGCTTTTGCTGTGATGCACTGATGAGCAGTAGAATTAGTCTACTGCACATTTAGTGTCTCTTGTAGACATACCCATTGTCTTAATCTCAGTGGCTATTAGTTTCCTGAGTGTTCCAATTTGTATCTTTTTTTATGTGAAGGTTTTGGGGTTTTTTTGAGGAAAATGTTGCTTTAAAAAACCCCACTGTCTTTTCATAACTTCATTTTTTTTCTTTCAGGTGATTTTGCTTTTGAAAGGTAGGATACTTGGAAGAGCAGGAAGTATTAGTGAATTTTCATGTCTGAAAAATCAAATTTTTACCAATTTCAATGTGAAAATGAATATGTTCTTTTCACCCTTTTTATTTTTACTTAAACATTTAACTAATTTTGAGTAAAAAAAATAGCTCACATAATTCAAAGACTACCATATTTTTGCTCAAGAAGCCATTTCAGAGTTTTCATCCTATTGCAGTAAAATGTATAGCATCAAGTGTTGAAATTCTTTGAATTCCGCTGGAAGTATCTCACGATTCTCTAGTATTAGCTGCAAGGGCTGCTGCAATCTGTTTATTATTATGAAAGTCGGGCATCCTGTTTGAGTGAGGCATCTTATTTGATGAGTCAGCAGTGCAGCCCTCCATTGCACTATGCTTTGTCCCCCCCGGGCGTGTTCACACGTTCATTAATGCACCATAATGATGGTGCATTAAGTTTAGTGCCTATAATAATTGGTACTAACTTAATGTACTGTAATCAGCGCTACTGTGCACTAACGCAGATGCACGCTTTTTGTGTGATGCTTAATGTCCATTAGACTAACGCTACCAGGTACTAGTGTATTAGCATGGTTTTTGCCAGCCACGTTAGTGAGCAGTAAAATTAGTCCAATGGGCATTAATCATCTTGTGTAAAACATTCTCTGAGTAGATTACGTTTAAGCTACTAAAGACAGCTTTCAAGTTCAGTTGACATCAGGGTTGTACAGGATCAGTCCTGTAGACTGACGTAGCAGTTTTACCACACCAGAGACACTCAATGATCTAGATGCTGCAATGTCTAATGTTTAGGCGGCTTGCTACCAACTGGAATTTTCATCCCAAGTTAGAGGCCTAGGCTCCCTGTGCAGTGAACAGATAGAGTTGAAGGCAGTAATGTAATAATGGGTAGGCAAGGTAGGGCATGAGTCTGGGTCTCTGCCTAAGGGGGGCACTGGATTGGAGCTAGGAGGAACATTCATTCTCTTGTCCTCTCATCCCTTTCCCTCCCTCCCTTCACTCTGCATGTTTCCTGCAGTGACTTCAGCTCCAGCAGCAGGGATGCCAGAGCTGTGGCAGATGCACGAAGTGCAGGAGCAGCAGCCAGAGGTTTCACCTGTCTTGAGGCTCCATATCAGCAGCAAAAAAAAGGAGGTGACCTCTCCCCTAGCAACATCATGGGCCCTGCTGCTGTTCTGCCATTCCCATTATCAGAACCAGAGCTACTGCAGGGAAGGTGCAGGGGTTGCATTGCTGCCCAGGGTGCTGTACTGGCCAGCTACTTACTTGACAGCAAGGGGGAGGACACCTGGGTTCTAGTTCTGCCTCAGTGAATACGTATGTACAGGCAACCCCTGCTTAGTGCTCTTAATTGGTTCTTGAAAAACCAAACATTAAGTGGAATAGTGTTAAGCGAAACCAATTTTCCCATAAGAATAAATATAATTCATCACCAGGATGCCCAGCAGCAGCGACATGAGCACCTGGTAGCTCACGACCAGCTCAACCGGCACCATGCTGTGGCGGCCCGCCTGGGCTGTGAAGGTGGTGCTTTTGGTCCCCTCCATGCCAGGCACTGGGCGGGGGGGGCGGTCATGGCCACAGTCACAGTCACTCTGGGTGGTGGGAGTGGGACACAGTGTCTGGGGCTCCCCTAGCATGAGTCATAGCATGAGTCATAACCCTGCTGGGCCTGGCCCGGGTGCCAGGCAGGTGGGCTAAATTGCACAACAAGGCTGCATGCCACCAATGTGCTGTGGCGCTAGTGTATGTTCCTCGTTGCAAGCTTATGATGTCCATGAGTGTATAACAAAACTCACTGAACGCTAAGTGGAATTGGGTAGCAATCCAAAATGAGTTTTACAGCAAAATAGCACTAAGGGAAATGGTGTTAAGCAGGGGTTGCCTGTATTTGTATACAAAGTGGAGCAGCTTAAACAGGAGACACATCAAGAGCCCCACCCTGAAATACCTTATAGGTTGGTGTGGAGGGCAGTTTCCTGGGAGATAGAAGCAAGTTCCAGTAGGCAGAGGAGAGATTCCTGCATCCTGGCTGACTACTTTAACCACTGACCTTTGGGTAAGTCAGGGCAGCAACACCAGAAGAAGTGAGCTATGTTTTATGTGGGATCTCATTCTATAAATGTCACATTCTGCAAACGTTGGCTCCCTGCAGGAAAGACAGGTAGAAAAACATTTGATTTGTGACTCCAGTGAGGGCTTTGGTGACTGATAGGTGCTTAACTGCTTAGCACTACAAAGACTTGGCCTAGGTTTTAAAGGTTGTATGTAGGCACCAGACATCGCTGTCATTTTATGGATCAAGCCTTCTGGATGTAGTCTACCTACAATTGATATGGGACAGATCCTTGGATAACAGGGTGTTGTTTTATGTTACCACTGCAGCCTCACCAAATGTAAACAATCTTTTGATGACTTTGTGATCTAGATGTGTAGAGCCACGCTGACTGTGCTGCAGTAGTCACTAATGCCCATTAATAGGGAAGGATTAGATTTTATGGGTAAGAACAGTGAAAAAATGTTTTGACATACAATTTTTGCAGGTAGATAACATGTGGCCAAACTTCTGGCTGTTCTCTGTGTAGGTGCATTTGCAGACAATGTCTGGAGAGCCACTTCTTCTATGCATGGATTAGGCCCAATCAGAAGTGTAGCAAGGTCTTTTAGCACCTGGGACAGAGGCGGGGTATGTGGGGGATGGTGTGTGGTGTGAGTAGGGAGGGGGGAGGTGGAATCATGCTGACCAGAAGAGGGGGAGGGAGAGAAGAAGCCTGTCTTCCTGGCTCTCCATGCTCCTGCAGCAGCTGCTACTGCTTTGGCTGCTGTTGCAGCAGCATAGGCTTTGGTTACTACTGCTGGGAGGAAGACACTGGCATGGGTTCACCAGGGGTCATTCCTGGTGCCCCATTCACTTGCTCCCTCTCCCTAGGTGCATCCTGTGGCAAAGCCCCACCCCGGGTCGGTGGGGGCATCATTACATACTCTCTCCCCCTCAGATACACTGCCAGGCACAAGGCTGTGCCTGGGGTGGTGCAGGGCTCGGCCTGTCATGGTAAAAATTAATGAAGGAAGGGGACCATGCTGGTGCCCCCAAGGCTGATACCCTGCTTGTCCCTTCTTCCTCATCTCTACTCCCATTGCCACTGGGTGCAATGAAGAACTTTATGCTAGGTTTGAGGCCAGGCTTGGGCAGCCCAGCCATAGCTGCCAGCAGGTGCAAGACTATGCCAAGGCACACAGTGCACCTTTCAAAAACACCAGTTAGAACCACCATTAAGCAGGTGTCAAACCCATGCTCTGAGCTGTTCCAGTCCTTAGCATACTATATAGCTAGAAATTGCTTCTCTCAGGTACACTGCAGTCTCATCCTTAAGGGATGTTTAGACATGTTGGATAAAGTTGCTGCCCAGGACCCAGTTTTGTTACACGGATTTACTCAACAAGCTGGAACATTTGCAGTGTGGTAGCATGTATTTATAACACTGTTTTAAAAAATGAAATCTACCAAAAATCTTATCTGTTAAGGAATCTCTATACAATTCTCTCCTTCACCCCAAACTTCCAGTGCACCAGCCAGTGGATGTATTATGATTTATTAATAACGTATCGGTGTTGAGATGCTATGTATTTATGTTTAGGTTCTGAACAATGTGATCTTCCTTTTAAATATTTGATTTTTAAATGTTGTAAATGTTGTACCTATGTGTAAATAAATGGAGGTTTTAAATATGCAAGCAAGCACATTGTCTGATAACATTGATGCATTTTTAAATAGTTTTGACAAGGCCAACCCTTCCACTCGCTCTTTCAACCCTTCCCCCCACTTACTGAATAATTGCAAGCTTCCTTTTGTCCCTCTTTGGCCTCTTGTAAAGTCCCATTAGCAAAAGGAGAACCTGAAAAGAAAAGAACTATATTTAGAGCGTTTTCCTGGCTCCCACAGAAAGAAGTGTTTGTGAGCCAGATCCTGAAGCTAATGTGAGTCTCTCCCTTTTTTGCGGTGGGAGCTGGATTGGATCCTATTGATTTGTTCTCTCTGGCATTCACTAAGTGGAAAGTCTATGATAGTTCCATGAACAGAGAAACTGCAGAATTAAGGCATAAAAGTATGTGCTTATCTCACAGGATTTCCCAGTCTTCCTGCTTATGAAAGTAACTGAAGGATATATCATTACAAGAGTTATTCCCCCAGTTCATTTCTGGTTCCTTGAAGATTTAGGAGGAAATGCATGTGTTCACCTGAAGGTTTAAGAGGAACTGCAAGTAACTGCACATTTTAAAATCTCACCTGTGATTTGTTGTTTAGTTTTTCTCCTGCTTTTCTAAAAACCCTTTATTTTCTTACTAAGGGCTTGATTTTACTTTCCCTCTCTTTCCCTCTTTCTAGCTCTGGTTGAACACAGGAAAACTATCATTCTCATGCAGCTCTGATTTACATCAGAGTAAATGATATTTGATTCACATACAAAAACTTCAGGCAATTAAAAACCTAATTTTTAACTGATTGTGGATAATGCACAGGTCTCATAAATACCTGTTT